AAAAAATAGGGCCTAAAGCCCTGCACAGATTTCCTGGGGACTCAATATTAATCTGCCAACTAAAATAGGGGCATTCCACCTCACCCTAAACAATTTTTGAATGCCCGCTAGGTGACTAGGTTTTTACAAAGCTGTCATCAAGGAGATAAATGGAAAATTATGCTTTTCATCAGAAATACTTATTGCCAATAAAAGTCACATCTTATTCCTTCAAGTTTCCTGTACCTGTTTAAAGAATATAAAGATTCCTTGATCATTTCTGGTCATTTTCCAAGGCAATAGTTCCATCCACGTGTAACAAAACATACCCAGCACATATACTCTTCAGAAACTAAGATAAACATTCCAGTTTTCTGTTTTTAAAAAAATATGCCTTTCGTCAGAAGGCTACCATATTTTTAAGGGTTTTTATATCTGATCAAGATGGGTTCCTGGACATTAACCTCAGGGACCACTGATCAAGGACAACAGACTGTCAAGTTCACCCGCTCCTACCAATGATTTGTCAACGGTTATTCTTCTATTTTATCATTCATCAAGGATCTACTTAGTATGTCTTTTTCAATGGATTATGGTCTCCCTAAGCCTCTTCACCTTTGATTCAAGGTGAAGAATCGAATCTTCTCAGAATCATAACTAGTAGGTCAAGAAGGGATATCAGAAACCACCTGGTCCTTTCACCCTCTGATGTTTAACTGGATCTCACTGAGCCACATCGCAAGGCAGCAAGTGCCTTCAGCTAGGATCATTACACTATCTGAACAGTAAATGGCCAAGAATTAGTCCAGTTAAGTACCTTCTACTCCTTAGCGCCACAATGGAGCATTGTATGATCAAAGATGAGAAGTTTTTAGCATTAAAAGATGCCTTTGAAGGTCAGAGTTGTCAGCTAGAAGGCACATAAATACTTTACCTGCCTATTTCTCTGTGCTTGCCCCAGTATCTCTAAATTCCATCTCTTTTCTATCCATATGTGCCTTATTTGACAGAACCCTTTCCGTTGTCCCTCCTGGTCAGATCTGTCCTGCTGATAAATGTTGCAAACACTACAGACTGGCTGCTGGAAAAGTCAGCCAGAACCCCTTTTCCTTTACAACAGAGGCTGGAAAACAAAAATACCCAATTTCTTAGACTTCCTTGGAGCTGGTGGCAGCCATGTGATCCAGTACTGGACAATGAAATTTAAACATAAGTCACTGGGGGAGGCTTCAGGGAAGCTTTTTAGAATAAAAGGCAGACTTTATTCACCTTCACGTCTCCTAGCTTCTTCCTTCCTGGAACACTGAGACAATGGCCGGTGTTATAGCAGCCATATTGCAATCACATTGCCAAAGCCACAGGCAAAGACGATAGCAGGGCAGAAAGATAGAAAGAGCCTGACTACTTAATCAATTTTCAAACTCTCATACCAGCCCTACTCTGGCTACCCGTGGATTTTTGCTGCTTGAGAGAAATATTTATTTAATCCCTTGCCACTCAAAATGAGATCAACAAACCATCAGCATTGGCACAATCTAGAAGTTTGTTAGGAAAGAAGAGTCTCAGGCCCTACCACAGACTTAGTGAATCGTAATCTGAATTTTAACTAGATTCCCAGGTGATCTGTATGCATATTAACTAACTTACATAAACACTGGGAGCACCAGAGATCTCATTTTCCTTGAGTTGACTACTTGCAGTTCAGATGACCACTGGCTATATGCATATTTTTCATAGTGCCTAAGACTGGTAACTTAAAGATTTGCAAAAGAAAGTAAGCTGGAAGGACAAAAATCAGAGGCAACCTGTCTGTGCAACTAGGAATCAGGAGTGACCAGTCTGTCAACTAACTCTTTGATGCTGCATAAACCATGAGCTTTTCGTATCTAATATCCTTGCCTATAAAGTGCTCAAGTCTGTGAGCATCAAACAAGATAATATGGCAAATGATTATGAAGGTATATAGACATAAAACATTACTATTATTAATGAATCTTGCCAAACAAACTAATTCTCAATAAAACCTCTCTTCTTGGGAACTACAGTTAAAAGTTAAATTATGTAAAGTTCTTGTCAATCCCTTGCATTATCCACTGGAATTGTGGGCTAGAAATCTTTCTGGTCCCATTTGAAGTGCAAAATAAAGCAATGCATGTGAATGCATATAAAAGGCCAGGAAAAATGATTCTCAGAAAGTAGACCTCACAAGAGAGGTCAACAAAGGCAATGCAAAGACGTAGTAAACCCTCTTAGGGAATTAAAGAGCTATGAGACCAAGTAAAACATAAAACTACCCTCTCCAGCCACAAAGCATATTCATCCTATAAGGAAAAATCTGAAGTGAATGGAAAGTTACTTCATTTGTTAGAATACAGACATTTGAGTGTGAGGGACAATGTTATATTTGAATAGTTCAGTACAGCTGCAATGCTGGAGGCATTAAAAAGGAAGTAATTTACTTTATAAGGATAATGCTCATAATAGTAGAGATGATCAACTAAAGCAGAATATTAACATAAGAGAAAGCACTACAACATTCCATTGAAAACACAAACCCCCATCATCATAAATTGCCCTTGCTAACTATCGGTGGTTTGTGAGAACTTGAAATTATTTTCAAATATGCACCTAAAACAATATTACATTAGTCTCATATATTTTACCCTTTCCTACCTCTTCAACATCAGCTCCTTTACAGACACGTAAAGAACTGACTTCAAGGGAAGTCAAGTATTAAACAAAAATGGTTTTAATTATCTAAAAGTGGTCAATCAGCCATGTGTTGAAAATACTTCAACTGTAATTTAATGCATAAAAATAACTAATCAAATTGTCATAAAGTACTTTATAAATGTAAAGTGCCATATAAATGGTCTATAATCAGGGTAATCATTGTCATAAAAATAATTTAACAGCCACAAAGTGACCATAGTGGATCTCTATCTTTTTATCCTCGGGACTGAGGAAAGAAAACACTATACACATAAAACTGTGACTAATGAGAAATTAGTGCTATTAAGCTGTCACATTAAAAGGTAAATGCTCAGTAAGGGCAAAAAAAAAAAAGAGGAAAAAAAAGCAAGACTAAGGAGACTGATAAGAATTTTACTTCATTTGTGTGTATATTTTTTTTTAGGTGATGAGACAGATGCATGATTTTGACCAATAATTCCAGGTAGATAATATTCAATAGATTGTTTAAAAAACACTTTTTAAAAATGCATAAAGTCTGAAAAACTGGACAAGCTATTTTCCAGTCTGTTTCCTAATGCTGACTAATTTTCCTTATTACAGGATGACAATGCTCTGGGGAAAAAGAAAGAGCCAACATGAGCCAATTTACATTTCTTTGTGATAAAACCAAAAATTTATATCCCAAAGAAGACCAGCAAAAGGAGAAACTACTGTCAAAAAAGTTAAATATGCAGAGAATGTTGATCATCATTCTTTTTAAGAATGGGAAGCTGTGGGGTCTGGCATATTAAGTAACAGAGAAGACGTCAGAAGCAGTGAAACTGAACCCCAGGCATAACTTAATGGCTCAGCTAGTTTCTTCACCTATAAAAATCAGGACACTTACTGCTGTCTGTGTAAGGTAATTAACAGCTGTAAAGCACTCTGAAAGTACAAACTGCTAAATTAATGAATGTCAGGGAATTATAACCATAATGTGCTAAGTAATAATGATGAAACATGGGATTAATTTTTGTTTTCAAGTTAATAACATAAATAAGATTCTAATCTTGTAATATGGCACAGCACCATGTTAGATACCAAGTTAAATTTAGTGATTGGGAATTACAGAAGAGATCTCATTTTTCCAAGAGCAGTTCACTCAACTTTGCTTTTAGTAATGAATATAAAGTTATGTTTTATTCCTGTAACTGCAGAAATATCACCACTTTGCCTGTCTCTATATTTTGGTTAATTCCAACTACAGCTCATTCTACTTAAAAATCCACTAACTGACTACTCGACTTTTTGAGACTTTCCATTTATTTAAATTGATTTTGAAACCTTAAACCATAGTAATGTTTTAAACTACTTCCTGGGAATTAACAACGCAAATGACATTCAGTACGATTACTGTTCCCTACCTTTTTCAACCTCTTGGAGTACAATATTTATGACATGATAGGCCTATCTAAAAACATCCACTGCTTTTTAAACTTGCTTACTGAGGAAATAAGGATGGATAAGTTATTAGCAACAATTTTTTATGACCTTCTAAACTGTCTATACTAATGGTTTTATGAGGATGTCATAGGCTTCAAACTATGGACTAGGAGAGCCAACATTATCATTCATATCTAAGTCTTTTTTCTTATTTTCCATATACACTTAAAATAACTATTGAATACTACGAAATCTCAAAAAAAAAAAAAACTCAATTATAAATCATGGAAACATGGAAAAACCATGGAAAGCCAATCCATTTTAATTACTTCTCGCTGAAAATATAACATCTGGAAAATATGGTCTTCTATCTGTACACTTGAAAATAAACTGCAGCTCTAAAGAACAACTTAAACATCATTGAAAAAACAAGTCTAAATCTCAAATCTTGTCTATTATGTATTTGGGGAGAAAGCCATTCTCCAGTTACTATTTTGTGAAAAAAATTAAACATCCATGGAAGAAATACAGGATATGATTCACATTAAAATGCAAATATGTAATTGTATCTTCATAATAACCAAGACCTCAAATACCAGTTTAAGTGACTCATATTAATTTAATTGTGGCATTAGCTTTTACGATCACAGATGTAAAAAGACCACTGTGTTCCAAACAAAACCATCGTTCCAGCATCTCATTTCATGAAAATTAGTTAAGATGAGAGCCTCTGAATGAATTTATATTTGATTAGTTTCACTTATTTAAGAACACTGAATAATTTAAGATCTGTTTAAATAAAAGAGAAGCAAAACGGCACTTCTGAGAAGTGCTGAATGCTTATACACTCTGCAATATTCTGATGGAGACTTCAATTCTTCAGGATTACTAGTAATTGTGCATACCTTCCAGGTGAAGCCACATTAACCTCCCCTTCACACTGACGACCGAGGCCACGCAGAGTTCTCCTGGATTCCTGGGGTTTACAGCTTCAAGTTTCATGTTCTTTGTGAAACCCCGACTGAATGATGTCTGAAAGAGAAAAAGGGCTGACACTGAGCCAGCAGAATTCATACTGTGATATTCTGGAGCCATAAGGCTGGCCAGAGGAAGAAACAGAAGTATACACACACACACGTATGCACATATTTCTTACTGATAAGACAGGCTTGTTTACATGTTTGTTTTTCCCACCATTCATGACGAAAAGAAACATGTTTCTCCTTCCATCCTTCCTTCCTACCTATGTACCTACTACCACTTATCTACATATATATACCTCAAAAAACAGAAACTATGGTTAGTATACAGTAGGTACCTAAAAATATTTGTTAAGTACATGAATGAATCCAAAGTCTCCTTTTCCAATTCCATATGCACCCTTACTTCTATGGAATCACTGAAGGACAAATCATTTCTTCTACTTTCCTATATTCCGTACTAGAATCATACCTGGGCATATTTGAGGGCCAAGTTTCCATCTTTCATCACGTCCCTTCACTCTGAAAACTGTTCTTAGCATTTCTTACAGTGCAGGTTTGCTAGTGATAAATGTCCTTGGTTTTCTTTTATCTGAAATTGTTTTTTTTTTACCCATCTTTTTTATTAGTTTGTTTTTATTTTCTTTTTAATTCATTTTTTAAAAATCACATATAGAACTGGACTAAACCAAAGCTAAGAAGTATCCTCAATACAACCAAACACTTCAAGGGACAGAGTAGCAGGGGTGGAAGTCTGGGGACCATGCTTTCAGGGGACATTTAGGTCAACTGGCATAACAAAGTTTATTAAGAAAATATTCTGCATCCTACTTTGGTGAGTGGCATCTGGGGTTTAAAAGCTAGCAAGCAGCCATCTACGATGCACAAATTGGTCCCAACCCACCTGGAGTAAAGAAGAATGAAGAACACCAAAGTCACAAGGAAAGCATTAGCCCAAGAGGCAGAAAGGGCCACGTAAACCGGAGACTGCAACAGCCTGAGATCAGAAGAACTAGATGGTGCCCGGCTACCACCAATGACCGCCCTGACAGGGAACACCACACAGTCCCTGTTGGAGCAGGAGAAAAGTAGGGTGCAGAACGCAAATTCTAGTGAAAAGACCAGACCTAACGGTCTGAGACTGGAGGAACCCCAGAGAGCATGGCCCCCGGACTCTCTGTCAACCCAGCACTAAAACCACACCCAAGGCCAATTCTTCAGTCAAAGATTAGACTGGACTATGGGACATAAAAGGATACTTGTGAAGAGTGTGCTTCTTAGCTCAAGTAGATATATGAGACTAATTGGGCAGCTCCTGTCCAGAGGTGAGATGAGAAGGCAGAGAGGGTCAGGAGCTGGTTGAATGGACATGGGAAATCAGGGGTAGAAAGCAGGAAGGTGCTGTCACAGTATAGGGAGAGCAATTGGGGTCACATAACAATGTGTGTATAAATTTTTGTATAAAAGACTAACTTGAATTGTAAATTAAAAAAAAAAAACAGATACGTAAAATTTGTTCTTTTTCGTGTCTAGCTCTATGAGGACAGAACCATTAAACAAATGTATACAGTTGAGTAGCATACAGTCATGTAATAATAACCATAATCAAGACACAGAACAGTTCATTCACCCTTAAAAATATACTTGCATTGATCCTTGACAATCAGTTCCTCTCTGACTCCCAATCCCTGCCAATCACTGATCTTTTTTTTGCTCCTATAATTTTGTCCTTCTCATTATGTGATATAAATACAATCATGCAATATATACCTTTTGAATCCAGTTTCTTTTGCAGAGCATAATGCATTTGAAATACATCCATGTTAATGTATGTATCAGCTGTTTGCTCTATTTTATTGCTAAATAGTATTCTGGTATATAGATGCACCACAGCTTGTCTATCCATTTACCAGCTGAAGAACTGAGCTGTTTCCAGTTTGGGGTGATTATGAATTAAGCCACTATAAACACTCATGTACAAATTTTTGTGTGAACATAACTTTTCATTTATGTAGACATGGGATTGCTGGATCATATGGTAAGTGTATGTTTAACTTTCTAACAAACTACTAGACTCTTTTCCAAAGTGGTGATACCATTTTGCATTCCCACCAGCAATGTGTGAGAGATCCAGGTGTTATGCATTCTCTCCAGTACTTGGTATTGGGTATCGTCAGTAATTTTTAGTTTAGCAATTCTAACAGGTGTGTAGTAGTAGCTCATTGTGGTTTTAAATTGCATCTTCCCTAAAGACTAAGGGTGTTGAGCAGCTTTTCATGTGTATGTTTGTCATCCGTATATCTTAATTTACTGAAGTGTCTGCTTTCAATATTTTTCTCGTATCTTTGGTTTTCAACAATTTGATGATGTTGAGTTTCTTTGTGTTTATGCTGCTTGGAATTCATTGAGATTCCTGAACATGTAAATTTAGGTCTTTCAGCTACTTTGGGTTAATTTTCGGCCATTATCTCTTCATATATTTTTTTCTGCATCAGTTTGTCTTGCCAGTTCTTCTGGGTCTCAAATAAACACTATATTGTCTCTCAGATTCCTGAGGCTCTGTTCATCATTTCCCCCCCAATCTTTTTTCTCTCTGTTCTTCAAATTGGATAATTTCTATCTGAAGGTCACTGACTCTTCACTCTGTCATCTCCATTCTGTCGTTAAGCCCTTCCCATGAATTTGCTTATTTCAGATGTTATATTCTCAGTTCTAGAATTTGTCTTTTTAGTTGTTACTTCTCTTCTGGAATTTTCTATTTTTATTCAGTGAAAGATAGAACATTAAATGTATCTTTACATCAATGACTTCAATTTTAGGGGAATCAGAATCACCTGGAGAGCCTTTTAAAAACAGACTGTTGGGTCTCACCTCCAGAGTTTCTAATTCAGTTTATCTGCATGACATCATGCAATTTCTATTTCCAACAAGTTCTCAGGTGATGCTGAAGCTACTGGCCTGGGAATCACACTTTGAAAAGTACTGCTTAACCTCACCAAGTTTAGTTGTAACAGGGACTTTAAAATTGTTTGCTTGTCTGGTAATTCCAATCTGGGTCATCTTGGGTTTGGTCTCTATTGATTATCTTTTCTACTGAGAATAGGTCATGTTTTCCTATTTCTTCATATGTTGAGCAATTTTGGATTGTAACCTGGATATTTTCAATGTTTTTGTAGAGACTCTGGAATGTGTTATAGTCCTCCCAAGAGTTTTTATTTTTCTTTTTTAGCAAGAAATTAACTTTGCTGGACACAATGTACAAACTCTAGATTTTTGAGCAACAGCTCAAATCTCAGTTTAGTTACTGTATCCTTAGCTGGGCTGCCTGGCACATGCATGAAAATTTGTGGTTCCCTTCTCTACCTCTCTCCTTTCTGAGAGTTTCCCCTTACTTTCCAGTGGCTGTGGTTGCCTACTTTCAATTATCTAGTTCATCAGGATAGAAAGACTGTGAAATTTCAATCACTGTTTTAGCCATCCCACGTGGTATCAGCTGGGGAGGGGGGAACAGGACAATCACCCCATGCTGTTGCTTTATTTCAAGAGTCTGCTCCCCTCCACAATCTGCCTGCTTTAGTTCATTCTCCAGTACCCTTAGACAGTTGTTTTTAGTATTTTGTCCGGAGTTTATAGCTGCTGTCTATGAGAGGATCAGTTCAGCATGGGCTTACTCAGTCAATATTAGAAGCAAAACTACCCCCAACATCATTTTAAAATAAATTTTCAAAAATATCAACTACTATATAATCAGACAAGTTACAATGCTATACAAATATACTTATTTTGAAATATACAAATGAGATAAACATGTTCCTATAAGTAACTGAGACTACATCTTTACATAACTCATTGAGAATAAGGAAATACATATTTACATGTCTTTTTATATAAGATGAAAAATGCAATTATGTCTTTACATAACCAGAGCAGAATTATCCAATATACGTTAAGAAATCAATCTCCTCCTTTCCTTTATGTTACTTGAGAAATAGGAATCAAAATATTCTAGGTGAGTTATTTTTCTGCAAGTCATCTGCCTCATCCACACGTATTACGTATTGAGCTTCTTTCTGATAATACAACTCCATAGGCTGCCTGAAAAACCTCTAAGTGAGTTAAAGTGCATTTTATCCTACTTAATAAGGGAAAGCTACAACCATGTAACTTTTCATTTCAGCTCACTGCTTGAGGGTAATTTATAACGGATCAATAGCAAAACTGTTACCGGTGGGTATATTTTACCAAGCATCTGGCTATGTCAATCCATTTCATAACTGCCTTTAATCGTTAAACATCCCTGGGGAAATGTATTCCATGCATCCATTTCCACACTAGCACATATGCCAATGGGCAGATAACCATCCTGTCTATTAAATAAACGGAGAGCCAGAAACAAAACGGGGCATATGCCTAACAAATGCACTCCTAATGAATACACCAGCAAACTCATTAAAGCAAATTTAATCTTGACAGCTAAACCCTGAAAGCTCAGAGGCTACCTGATGATGTGGCTCCTTGCTTCACTATTAAAATGCACTTGGACAAATGCTGGATGAATGCGAGGAGAGGACAGATAAAAAGATGCCCTAGTGGAGCTAGGCTTGTCATAGAGGAAACAGCTAGCTCCGCAAATACAGAACAAGGAGGAGATGTGAGGAGTTTCTGCTCAAGGCTAGAGAGTTAGGGAAGGAATATTACTCGTCAGGTAGAAAGCACAACCTCAAAGGGGTTTTGGGATGTGACGGTGTTTCCATGGTCCTAAATGAAAGTCACTGATGCCAGTGGATTCTGTGATGGTAATGTCTATATGGTGAAGAGCTGAGTAAGAATCCACCGGACTTAATAAGCCTTAAGAGCTAACCATCTGCTATCCTCATGATAGTATGGTTACACAGCTGTTCCCACACACCACCTAAACACACACCATACAGTTCAGTGCTACAAAGAAACTACTTTTGTGGGAAGGCAATGCCATCCAATCATTTAAAGACGCCTGAATTTCCAACTCTGCTACTGATTTGTTTCTGCATTTATTAATACAAGTTGACCTAATAATCAAACTACTTCATTCTCCAAAATCTGATTTTGACTTACATTCAGTATTGAGTTTCTCTCTACTAGGCCAACCCTTTATACCTCTCCGTTCTCTTATTCTGTTATCCTTGTAGTACAAACCACGGGTGGAGTGCCAGTGAATCAGCAGCTATTGGAGCACATGTTTAGAAAACAAGGATTTGATCTGGGAGCATTTTACACTGTTGTGACTACAGGCCCCCATTAGAGGGCTGCATTTTTTTTCATTCCATAAGGAATTAATTTTCATAATTAAATGCATGTTCAACATATTAAGCTAATATTTACACCTCATTCTTAAAACAAAGATAATAATTCATATCCATTTTCATAGTTCCTAGGAATGAAGAAGTTTAAATGAATAATTTTATAAGATACTTTATACAATCACTGCCTACAACTATGCAAGTACACGTGTATACAGACAGACAGACACATATACACACATTGCTATTTTACATATCACAAAAATCCTATTACTATACCAGTGAGCTCTATTTGAACAAGGTAGCAGCTTAAAGTAAGCAACAGACAAAACTGTTTGCCTAGCAACTTATAAAGCACCTAAAGATAAAATTTAAGATCATATTTTTAGAATACACCTCAGGAGCAGAGAACTCACATCAACGGGTTTATTAATATTATACTACACAGCAAATGCATATCTAACGGTGGCACAGATGGCTAGCTCTCCACCAAAACTTGTCCCCCTTCTTCCACAATATAGACTAGTGGCTGGGAAACAGTTGCCCAGCCAGAATACATTTCCTAGCCTCACTTACAGCATGGCATAGCCAAGTGATTGGTTCTCACCAATGGAAGATGTCCACATTAGGCTTCAATTTTTAGAACTAGGGACACCTTCTCCATGATCTCTTTTCCTATCTGTTAGCTAGATTCAGAAGATGAAGTCAAATATGGATAGAGTCCAAGTATCTGACTCACCATAATGAGAAGAACTACCTAGTTCAGGAAGATCCGGCACCCTTCCATAAGTGAGAACCTGGTTGAGTCACTGTGCGTTAATTGGTTGATCTGCTACCACAGCCTAGCATCACCCTAATGAAACAGATTTGTCAAAATCTATGCAAGTTTTATCATCCTATGGCACAATGTAGTTCTCTAACCTTGCTCAACAAATAGAAAGCAACTTATAAAACCTATGGTGAACCTCTATAATAATAATAAAAAGAACAATAAGAAACAAGCATTTCTTACATTTCTGAAGCAGAAGGAAGGTGCTGCTTCTGCCCCATGCTGCTTGTGGTAATCTGCCCAGTCGAAGTCCTGGCCAGAGTAACCTGAGTAAACAAAACAGAGACAGAACAGCATTAAGCTAAACCTGAGACAAACGAACAGCTTTAGAGGGTGTCAGTAATCAAAATAAAAATGAGTGCAAGTCTAGGCCCCAGAGGATGAATCCCTCTTAAGCCTTCAGAGTTCAGAAAAGTTAAACGGAATGTTTTGAAAAATGTAAAGTACTATATACATGTAAAGTATAGCATCATTGTAACATGGTACCTGAATCCAGCTGAAGAATGGTAGAAACTACATACAGGGGCTCATGCCAATGGGTGGATTTGCAATAGGGAAAAATAGCCAAGAAGGGCTATTACACAAAACCCATTCCCACAATCCATTCTGCAGAAATATAAAATAATACCTCTTTGTGTTAAATTTTGAGTTCATGTGAACTTACTTCTCAGTATCTTTATGGAAACCATGAGAATTTATATAAAAAAAAAAACACTACATAGGGATAATTTTTTTTCTTTTTTTTATTGTACTTTAGATGAACGTTTATAGAACAAATATTTTCTCATTAAACAGTACACATATTGTTTTATGACATTGGTCAACAACCCCATGACATGTCAATACTCTCCCTTCTTGACCTTGGATTCCCTACTGCCAGCTTTCCTGTCCCCTCCTGCCTTCTAGTCCTTGTCCCTGGGCTGTTGTGCCCCATTAGCCTCATTCTGTTTTATGGGGCTAATTTTTGGATGAAAGGTGAAACTCAGGAATGACATCATTACTGAGCTAAAAGGGTGTCCGGGAGCCATACTCTCGGAGTTTCTCCAGTCTCCGTCAGACCAGTAAGTCTGGTCCTTTTTTTGTGAGTTAGAATTTTGTTCTACATTTTTCTCCAGCTCTGTCTGGGACCTCAGCTATGATCCCTGTCAGAGCAGTTGGTGGTGGCAGCCAGGCACCATCTAGTTGTACTGGACTCAGTGTGGTGGAGGCCGTGGTAGTTGTCGTCCATTAGTCCTTTGGACTAATCTTTCCCTTGTATCTTGTTTTCTTCATTCTCCCTTGCTCCCAAAGGCGTGAGACCAGTGGAGTATCTTAGATGGCTGCTCACAGGCTTTTAAGACCCCAGATGCTACTCACCAAGGTAGAATGTAGAACATTTTCTTTATAAACTCTTATGCCAATTGAGCTAGACGTTCCCCGAGACCATGGTCTCCACAGGCCTCTGCCCAGCAATTCAGTCCCTCAGGGAGTTTGGATGTGTCTATGGAGCTTCCATGACCTTGCCTTGGACAAGTTGTGCTGGCTTCCCCAGTATTATGTACTGTCTTACAGAGGGATGATTTTTAAGGAGTAATAGAAGATAAAGCAGACAGCAAACAAAGAGCAGAGGTTTTAAAGACTCCAAAGAAATGAAGGAAGAAGAGTATAAATTTTCCTGAGAACTGAACTGCTGAGGTTGAGAACAAATGAGAATGGAGAAAGACGGGCTTCTCTGGTATGAAGATTTTGAGGTAGATTTTTGAGATACTGAAGAAAGAGTTTGAGAAACAACTATCCATATATGTTGAACTTAATTAAATATAGATGTTACCAAAGTGATTTCTTTCTTTCTTTTTTGGACTGAGGAGGGTGCAATCATACAATATATCTGCATTATGACAACCAATGCAAACCATGGCAGAGATGGGGGAAAACAATTATCAATCATAAAATAAGAAAGATAATGGGTGTACGGTTTAAGTAAGGCAGGAAAATACATGTTAATATGAGTACTATTTTCATAAAGGCAAACAAATTAACAAGCATGTCATGGAAAAAGAAGTGAGCTGCTAAAAATTTTCCTGTGAACACAGGATGGCAAATGGAAATGAAAAATACAGTACCAATTATGATTAACTAAAAACATGTATCACTATGATCTTCATTTAGTGTTTTCTCTTCATTGGCTTGAGTATATGTAAAGTAAGTCTAGAAGGGATTTCTTAAGTATATTTTTGACCCAAGTCCCCCAATTTCTTTTCTCTTTTCTCTTGTCATAAATTCTACAACTACAAATTCACTTAACAAGAGACTTTTAGTTACTAAATCTCACAGCTGTAGACAGACTACAGAAATTATTAAAGAACCTCAAGATACGGGTTGCCTCCTACCTCTGTTTGTACACCCTGAGTACAACACAAGTATAATTTTCATTAAGTAAGCTCAATTTATATTTATCCAAAAATTTTTTCTTGTTGTTGTTCTTTTTTTAGGATGGGAGGGTGTAACCAGGAAGGCAATAGTTCTCCTCTGGTCCCAGGGACTCATCCAAGACCGTTCCATAACCCTGCAGAGGTGTTTCTCTGTCATTCTATAAAGACTGACAACTGCTAATTTCCTTCCAACAAGGAGATAAGAAGCCTCGGAGTTTTGAGACCCTATATATTCTTTATACTTAGTTTTTAAGACTCAAAAAGGAGATTTTTCAAGTTGTTCCACCTGCCCTTCCCCCTCAACCCCTCTCTTCAGAGCCGTCCTTCCATCTGACAAGCTATTGCCTCAGAGGCTTCTGGAAGGGACCAAACCAGGTTTCTTCTGAAGATTTTTAAACAAATAAAACAAAACATGTCTTAAACAAGATAATACAAGTTTCTCTGCAATTAATATATCCCTCTGTTTTGAGAGTAGTTTCTCTGGAATTGTTTTGGTTCAAATCCTTGCATTAATGTATAAGAATAAAAGAATTATCCTCAAGGTACCTCAAACCAGCAAGGAGGTACATAACGGTACAAAGAGTACTGAACAAGAGAGCACGACATCTGAGTTTTAGACCCAGCTCTACTAAGAACTGATGGACCACGGTAAAAGTAAATTACATTTTCTGTGTCTGGCTTTCCTTATCCATAAATTCACAAAACAAAGAGATCTTTAAAGCCTGACCTAGACGTTGCATGCTATGATTTTGAGTCGTCATTACTAATTATTTTACTATGGCTACTTAGGATTTTTTCTGCTTCTCTCTGTGGCTAATTCCCTGCCGTTCTCGTAGGAGAAAGGTGTGACAGGGTTGGACGAGAGGAGTTATGCAACAAGGCATTCTCCTTGAAGATCTCTCAACTGTACAGATGAAAACAAGATAAATCTCTGCAACAGAAGGGTCCTATTTGTTTTGACAAACCTATTTTGTTAAAGTCAAGATCTCCTTTGTTCCAACATTTCCCTGTACCTCTGCTACTTTAGTTAATTTTGTAAGCTGAAGAAAATCTCATCACGATCATGGCAGGGGTGGGGGGAGACTAGTAAAAAGTCTTCTATATAGATGAACAGCAAATCATTTTCTGATATAACATGGAATATGCATATTCCTTATACTCAGTATCTGTACAGATAAAATTTTCCAATTTAGAAGTCACCCCTACTCTCCTTACATATACACATTTAGAGGAGCTGGGTTTTCTGTGACTATATTCATAACCACCACTTCTAATGGGCTTCGACCCACTCCATAAAATGTCATGCTCCGCGCTTTCTTGGACCTACATTCAATCCTTCTAAACCCAGTCCTCAAGTCTCTCTCTAAGGGGAGTCATTTTTAATCTAATAATTTCAAGATATAATCAGGTCTTGCTGGTTACCTTTCGTAAACAACAATTAATTACTCTGCCCATTGAACGCTCCCATTTCTTTGACCATTCTAAGAGTCTAGATTTCTCCTCCTTCTTCTCTTAGAGACCTATATTCACATTATCACTTAAAATTCTTTCCGTCTGGGCTGATAATGAACTCTCTTTGTAAGGCAGTTTTGTAACAGTTTGGAAAATAACTGCTGCTTAAAAACAAACTGCTGTGGACTGTTTAATGAAGACAACAGGGGTGAATTATATCCATTAATCAACAAAGACAGAACAAGTACTAAGGCTTAGCTGAAGCCAGGAAAACATATTTTAAACCCAAGAGGAAAACAGCAGAAGGGTGAAGGAAATAAAAGTCCCCACCCCACCCCACCCCCAAAAAAAAACCCCAAAAAAGTAGACTATTAAAATGTGCAATAAGCTGCCATGGGAGACTGTTGAACCATACCCACTAGAATTATTTAAGCTTTTATTAGTGTTTATTCTGAATGAAGTTCCAACTGTAACAGGTCCAAAGGGGATGAGGTCGATGACCCATTTCCTTATGATCCAAATTAATTGACATAAAACAGCTCCACTTGCAAACATTACTATTGGCAGCATAAATAGGCAATTCTTTTGAAAAAACAACTTGGCAGTAAAAATGTTCATGCCCTTTGACACAACAATTTCACTTCTGGGAATTTATCCCATAAAAATAATCCTAAAAACTGAAAAAAGTTTTATACTTTAAGATACTCATGGCATTACAACTTTACATTCAACAGGAAGGAATGGTATGAGACTTATTCAAGTTCATGGAAAGTCATGCAGGCACGAAATTGTGCACAGTTTGTTTTAAAAAAAAAAAAAAGGAAAAATGATTGCTGTGGTTTTAGGTGAAAAGACTGCTACAAGCATATACAGAATTATTAGCTTTATACAAAAATAGGCAAAGCTAAAGGCCAGACGAAAAAAAAAGGTAAAAACTTAATAGTAAATATCAAAAAAAATAGCTTGGGTGGTGGGACTCATGGTTATTTTTTTCTACTACCTCTTTGTGTTTTTCAAGTTTTCAATAATGATCATAAATATTTCAATAATAAAAATTATTTGAAAACAGCATTTTTGCTCCATTTTAGAAGATAACCAAGTCACTGGTTAATCAAACAAGTGTTTATTCAGTATTGTGGAATACACCATGACTGCCTCCCGATTGCCTCTCTCCCACTTTTTGCTTGCTAACAGAATTGTGATTTTATCCAGTTTCTAGTGGAAGTCAAGCCTCTCCTCGGCACCAGGAAGTGAACTATGACTACCCTCAAGCAATCATGGTGGTTTCATATCTTTTGCCTGTGGCTTGGGATGAGGGTGGGGGTAGAGCTTAAGGGAAAAAAAAATTTTTTTTTTCCTCTAATAAAGGAGACACAAAGGCATAAAAGCTCTTATTTGTGGGT